CCTTTAAGAAGTGAATTGACGAATCTGCAAATTAAGGAACCTTCGAAGATACCACACGTAAACACGTCAGCATTTATTTGATTTCTCTGGCTGCTCAAGTAATATTCAGCCGTATCCATGTCACCCAGCGGGGTTTTGGCTTCGACAGCATGGCTTGGTACGGTAGCTAGTCTCAGTATATACGCAACAGCCGCTGGGCGCTGTCTTGAGCTCTGAACGCCCAGGTAAAAGCATGCCATCATACAGTATAAACGCGTTCACGGCTTTCCTTGAACTTCTGGGAAACTGGTGGGTCCTCTTGCTACAGTGGATAATCTGATATGAAACAGATCGTTTTATCATAATGTTTAATTAGGGTTTATTGTACTACAGTTCTGTAGTCCCAAAATGAAGAGGCAGAGTGTACTGTACAGTACATACGGCATACACAGTATACGGATCAACGTATAGTATTACATACAGTCTTATATTTAAGACGGCGTAGTTTTGCATGTTCAGAATTAGTAATATTTATTACAGCCCCAAGGTTAATGGGACAGAAATATTAACAAGTTTCGCTGTATATCTTAACCTTACGTTAATCAGGTTAAAATTCAAAATACATTCTGCGTGTTCAGAGCACTGCTGACTACTGTATATTATCTGTCATAGCTAATAATGGGTATTCGGTTAGGATAACTAAGACGGCCCGACACTGACAAGCTGAAGGAACTGAACCTTTTTAATCATGAACAGAGAAGAGTATGAAGGCACCTCATACAAGTGTTCAGAATCCTCAAAGACCCTGAGAGTCTCATGGACTTCTTCGGCAACAACAGGGAAACACAACTGCTGTATGAGGAAGTGCATTTCTAAATAAGAGCAGGAGGCACTTTTTTTTTTGCACAAAGGTTGCGGGGAGTCTGGGACGAGCAATCCAGAAATAAGATACCTTGGATTCTTTCAAGAAACAACTGCATGCGATCCTCCCAGCAGGACATGGCACACTTCTTTACACAAAGGGTGGCGGGAGAGTGAAACAAGCTGCAACTCATGCTGTTGAAGCCAAGCTGTTATTCTGGCTGATAGCTTGGATACAACGTCTGGATGAGATACGTGGATCAATTAGCTACTCAAAACCAAACGAGCTAAACAGGCAGAATGGTCTCCTCTTGTTTGTACTGTACAGTATGTTGCTTTGCTGAGGGGCTCCATCTCTTCCAGCCTACTCAGGCTGTATCCATTCTCAGTGTGAACGTAATCGGGCACTGTTCTGATTAAGACAGTGTTGTTCTGTCACTGGCAGATGTTTGTTTTGTCATTGTCACCGTTGAAGACCTGGAGTAAATGAATGAATGCACAGCTGTAGCCTTTATGCTTTATATCTTGAATAGCACGATTACATGGGATTCAGTATAGACTTGGGCTTTGTTCTTGATTGGGTATCTGCCATGATGAAATATAATTAACAGGTTTTAATGAAGAATGTAGAAAATGTATTCATTGTACCTCATATACCATGAACTGAATATGTTTTAATGTACAGTTTGTCTGTACTGAATAGAGGATCAGTATTATTTATGCATATCAGCACACTGATATGGAAACAATGTGCAACAATATCTGAGAATAGGAGGTACTTCTTTACAAAAAGGGTTGTAGGAGTGTGGTACAAGCTGTCCAGCCATGTTGTTAAAGCCAAAACCCTGGTTTATGTCAAGAAATCAACTGAATGAGATCCTGAGATCAATTAGCTACTAGTTACTGAACGGGCTTGATGTGGAAAATGTACTTCTTTTGTTTGTAGTCTTTCTTGTGTTCATAAATAATGTACACTTTCTTACTGAACAATTTACTTTAAACCCTTCATGCCGTCAGTAACACAGAAAATAACCTTTACCTATTTTTTTTCCTTCATTGGTACAAAAACAAATTTAATAATGATGTTATATTAAATATTAACTTCTGTTATGTTATAACTCCTGATAAATGAAGTGCTGCAGGTAGCTACCCTGAAAAGTAATTTGTCTTCAGTGAAACATGAATCATAACAGAAGTTTAGGTCAAAATAAAAGAAGAAAAATTTTACTTTAAAGTACTGCTTATCATGAATTTAAATAAATGTCATAATTGTGCTTTGGAGAGACTGAATCAACTGATCAACTGAAAACATATAGAGAACACACAAATAACAATGAAACATAATGTAAAACCATGCAAACATTCATTACAGAAGTTAACAGAGATTTTGAGCTGTGTAAGAATTTCACATTTGAACATTTATTAGTGAAATAAGCACAACAAACGTATTGTAGCTCCAATGGAGCTAAAACTATTGACTCTGAGACTTTATATCAAGCTACTGTACTGTGTATACAGTATAACTATTGAATGAGAACCTTATACAGCTACTGTCATTGAAAAAACACTCTTTAACAAATTAACTGTCTCAATAAAGTAAAGGGGATCACAGAGTTTATTTACAAGTCAAAATAGATGTGAACAGCGTGCAAGTTAGTTTCACAATTGAAGTAGCATGATTGTGATGCAAATGAGAATCAGGTGTGTGGGAAGAGTTTGTACTCCTGGAGCAAGAATGCTCAATTATTGAAAAGGGAAATTGAACATTAGTACCATGTCTCTACTACAGATCTAAACCCAAGTCATAAAAGCAAAAACAAAAACAAACTGTTGTTGTTCCTTGTCCAAAAGACTGGGGAGACATGTCCATCAATTTTGCTATTAAAGAACATCCATGCTTTCCTGCACTTCTGCTTAATAAAATTGACCATAGATCTCTGACACCATTTCAGTCACGAAATTTTGAAGAGCAACTGAAATGAAGAGTGAGGATTCTTGTAAACCAGTTGCCTGACGGCATAGTTCTGATCTGTGGCACAGGGCATGATCTTTTTGCAATACAACTGCATAACAGATTGAAGTAGGAAAAAAGTTTGAATGGTGGGCTTTTCACCATTTTCAACACCCCTTCACACATCAGACTGTCAGTCAACACCAGTGATACACATCCCCGGACTGCACGGGTTTCACCATTGAATTTGGGACAATAAAATTTCAATATTTCTTTGCATTTCCTGCAGTTTTTTAGACAGCTTGGAAAATAGTAAATATAGTTTAAAATGTGTGGCTTCGCCTTTTTATCATTTTTGCACCTACTGTGATGTTTATTTGTATGGCATGTGGCCATTTCGTCAATGATTTGGAAATATTGTAGGAATTAATACCATAATACAGTTATCTGTGCTTAATTAAAGCTTTCATATCTAATCTTATTTTTTTTTTCTTTGAGGACATAATATTGTTTCTGAGCCAAAACATTTGAGGGTGTTTTTTAATCAGCAGCACGCATTGCATTTTGCCGTTGTCTAGCCTGCCAAAATGCGTTATTTCTGTCAATAATATTGAATGATAAGGTCAGAACATGTAGTACAATAATTTCAACCCACCCGAGAGTTTGGATAAATAAAACAGAACTCGGGGAGTTAGTTCTAAAAACAATATCACGGGACAGCAAGAAAAAAAAGTCAGCCAGACTTTAATATTTGCATGAACGGGCTGCTTGTTTCTTGTACAGTACATTGACGTGGCATTAGAGTGTCAGCTGTTGTATTTTTATGCGTTAGGGTGAATTGCATTGGTAATTTAGCACGTTAATGCCAATAGGATTAACACACACTTCACAAATGAACCGCAGATAAATTAGCTTGCAAACTGTGATGCCTTGAAGCGAGATGTGCAGTGTGTGTTTGAAGTGTATAGAGAAAAACTCCAAGCCACAAAGTAATATGAAGCGCAGTGGGGTAGAAAATAATAGTACATGCTGATTTATTTTCCAAGAAGAAAGATAGATAAAAACGTTTGCTAATAATTAATATGCAATAAGGAAAGAAGTAACTGTGCGATGTACATTTCAATGACTGGTAAAACCTTTTCTAAGAGGGGAATGAAGATCCCAAAAAATGGAAAAAATGAAAAAAAAAACACTGCTTTGTTGAGATAGTTAGAAGTCCATGAGGGATACTGAAATGTGCAAATCAACTTGAAGGTGGTTATTCATTCGCATTTTCGGACTCACACAATTTGAACAGAGATGTGGTGTTTGTGCTAGCGGTTGATGTGGGATTTTGCAGAATGCTGGACACTGACTTTTCCTACATTGTTTCACAGCAGATGGATGATGTTTGCATACAAGAGCTTCTCCTCCGCTCCTATTTATTTAAGATAAAAGCTCACATCCCTTTAGGTGTGAAGCTAAAATTAATCCTGGCATACAGAGTACAAAAATGCATTGAAAGATGCAGTAAATATATATATATATTTAATTTCAGCTTAACAGAGAAGCTTGTCTCAGTTTGCATGTCGATACAATTCTTTGCCATTCTTTTTAGTTAAATATCCTTAACCAGCAGGATCACTGTTTTTGCAAACACATGAATGCAGAACGGATCTCTCTTCTCCACTGGAGCTCATTTGTGCTGGTTATAACTGCTGTTACTGTCAGTGTTTGGACTTGTTGCAGTCAAAGATTTAAAGTTGTGTATGTAACGTCAGATCTGCCATGTGAGAGAAAGCAGAGTATTTTTTGGAAAAACATACTTATACCTTGGCTCCAGCATTTCTATGCAAATCATAACCTTTGATTTTTTTTAATGTTTTAGCTGAAATACGCTTTATAATATGAAGCCCCCTTTTTTTATAATCTTAGAATAATAAAAGTATCAGATTCAATTTAAATGAAGTGACTCTTAGCCGGGAAACAAAAAAAGCCTGGAGAAGTACAGCTGCCAGTTCCACATATACCACACTAGGCAGCCCCGTTCCCTTGAAGTGTGAATAAACTATTCCAGAATGATACAAAAAGTGATGGGGAACCTTAATTGTTTTAGTTACCTGAATTTTTTTTTCCTGCTTGATTTTTTTTTTCAGATGTGCACCTGCAGTTTATCACGATTTTTTTTTTTTTTTATGGCGACTGGAAAATGTTCTGTTTTTCATTTCAGACTCCCAAGATGGGAACTTTAAGTCAGACGTAAGCAGCAAACCCAGGAAAGAGAGGACTGCATTCACCAAAGATCAAATCAGAGAGCTCGAAACAGAATTCGCCCACCACAACTACTTGACGAGACTTCGAAGATATGAAATTGCTGTGAATCTAGATCTCACTGAAAGACAAGTAAGAAATAACAGTAATAATATCCTTCAAATGAATGGTTCTGATTTACCTATTCAACCCTACTGACTTTTATTCTATTTATTTCTGTTAGACCTAAAAACTACCCTGATACCTGTATCCGAATGAATGCATGAAGAACTGATGTTGATCCAGATGTAATTCCTTCATAAGTGACCTGGCACTTGAATCTCAAAATAAACTTTGTAAGCTGACTAGGCAAATTGTTAAGCTACATTTGCTATGAAGAGTTTGTTTTGAAACAAATACCAGAATCCCTGATGTTGCGCCAATTTTTTAAAAGTGTACTGGTGTTGTATTTTTCAACACTTTTTCAAAGTATTCATCTCCACACGTACTGTAGTGTGATCTTGTTTTACTTACAATTGCAGAACTCGGAATGCCAACATACAGTATTTAGCTTTTTCTGATCTAATTTAGATTTTTAGTATATGGATAATATACTGTACAGTAGCCTTCAAATGTATTCATATACTTGATGATCAATAACGCAAAGTTAATTTAGAATGGAAATCTGTGTGTACATTCAAAATTGGATACACATTGATCGTAGAATAAATCTGTCTATAACTTTCAATATGATATGTACAGTATAAGTTGAACATCTGTCAAAAATAGCCACAGAACATATCATTCTAAATGCTTGATGTTCAGATTTATTCATATACTGTACCAGTGATCAGCATTATGTAGACTCTTCTTTGGCTCTTAAACAACTCATTAGGGATATTTGACAGAACTTGTCCTGCTCCCATAGCTTGTGCAGTGTGCCCATGTCACGTGTGCACATGTACAGTACAATAACCAATCAAGAACACTGACTCTTATGCTCGCTTACCAATTTGGTCATTGAAATCCATTATAGGCTTTACTGTATATTGTTACCCTGTTTGTAAACTCAGTTGTAACTAAGCTTGAGATTCTTGATGGAAGGCACCATTTTGTGGCTAACATATCCTGGTAATATTTCATAATCATCTGTCCCTGAGTTCCCTGAGTTCTACCCAGATCACCAGGACCAGAAGCTGCAAAACAGCCCTGAAGGAGTCATTCTTTCTGGACACAACCTTCTCCTTTCTGAGTTAATCATACCATTGGGAATATTGTCCAAAAACCCAGACAGTGTCTCATCCAATCACATCATTTGTTCATATTTGATTTTTGAAACAATTATTTGGCAATCAAGGTGACTTTCAGAAAGAATCTCTAAACTTTTTTAAGCCTTTATACAACCAGATGACTAAGAGGCACCAGAAAATTACATTTGCAGCATTTATTTTTTTACATATTTACAGAACATGAATAAATCTGAGTTTTGTGTGGTGAGAAATGCATTTTACAGTTCTGATATTGATACTTTGAGTATTCCATTTCATATATTTTTTTTTATCTTTTAATTCAGATTTTTTTCAATAAATTCGATATATGCATTTCCTTTGCTAAATAAGGTCCATGGACAGTTTCTCAAAGGTCTGAATACATTTGGAGACTACAACTTCAGAGGCTGAAACAGCACAGTATAAAGCTACATTTTATTTTAACCTACAGTAAAATCAATATCTCTGATAACTGTACTACAGTCAGGAATTTCCTTAAAAAAGAAAATTTCCTCTGAAAGACGTTTTTCCTTTTGACTACTATTATTAAAATAAAACAATTGCTTTCCCAATCTTTATTCTTCCTTGACACAATTTCTTATTAATTTTAATTAATTGGACCAAATTTATTTTTAAAAGGTCACAAAAATGTAAACATTGTGTACCTCAGAAACAGAACTCCTGCTTCTAATTTAGTGACATTATTTGAACTAGCACTGATTTAATCTGATTTCTGACTTTCAGTCTGCAGAACACTTTCAAACGTACTGTAGCTAGTGAATACTGACGTTGACTGTTGAGGGTAAATCAGATAGAGAAAAAGAGGCACACCCACCAGTTAGAAATATTTAAGATTATTTTGTGTATTCTTACATAAGTTGCAGGAAGGTTGTATTAAGCTGCTTTAAGAAATAAAGTAAAGTAAATAAGACTGAATAAGCATACATTTTAACCAGAGGACAGGAGTCCAGAATTGGCAGTGAAAATTGAATGCCAGTATTTCTCTGTTGTGAAATTCTGTAACTATTTAGTTGTAGAGCACTTTTCATCCTGAAAATGTTGTAATGAGACATTACTCTGACACCTTACTGATGAAGCTGCTAGTCCGAAGTTTCGTTTTGCCCTGGGAAGGTTTATCTACACTAAAATACTGGCTGGACAGAAATAAAATCAATTCTGTCCCGGAGGTCTTGCCACTCTTCATCCTTGTGTGAATATTTATTTTCCTGTGTTTCCGGCACATTTTTGGTTTCTATTTTGCGTTGTGCAGACATCTGCCTGCAAGAGTGTTGTCATGGGGAAAGAAAACCTTGCTATTTCTGTGTCACATCGTGTGAACGACTGTGAAAATTCACAGTAAGGGTAAACTGAGCCTGACAGGTTCGCGTGGGGAGTTTGTGTCAGTGTGCGTTAGCTGCAAAGGAACACTTTATGTTTAATTTCAGACTGAAAAGTACAACCATAGAAGGAATGCAGCTTTTCTGCTGTGAAGCCTTCTTCTCCCAAAACATTTTGTTTCTTTCTTTCCACTTTTCACTATGGAAAAATGTGCATTATTCTTCGCCAGTAATTTCTAAAAAAAAATCTTAACTAAATGGTTACTGCTCCAGATTTAATCCAGATTGAATCAAGTAACGTGCCACAATATCACAATGATCCCTCGGGAATTGATGTTGGGTTTTGTCTGACAAAATATTCAGAATGACTGGTTTATTAATTTAAATATCTTGTCTAAAATCACAGTTATGTAACAAATACTTCTTACACTTAGTTTCTTCGAAAAGAAGCATTTTTACTGTATGTATTCAGGGGTTGACGTAGAACATTCTGATTGCATTGAGGGACAGGATAGAACATTTTCTCGTTGCTTTTTAAGATAAAATAAATATGATCCTATTTGTAATTTTGCACTCTGGAATCTGACATGATAAATCGTAACAATAAGTATGATAGAGTATGATGATGTATTTTTTCACTCGATAATTGGCAGATCCGCCAGTTGCCTGCTGGGATATGCTCCGGCTCCCCCACGACCCTGAACTGCAGGAAACTGGACGGATGGATAATTGGCAGAATAACGTTACTACATTCGCTTTTTTTCATGGAAATGACACAAATGCTTTTCCCAAGACTCTTTCCTTTCCAGATAATTATAACAAAGCATGCATGAGGCCCCCCTCTTCGGCACACTCCCACTAATAGACCCAGAAACACTCAGCAGTTGTGTTTTACTTTGTGGCTTGTGAGCGGGAGTCTGAAATAAGCTATCTGGTCATGCTGTCAAAGCTGATTCCCTTCCTGCTTCAGGAATTGGATTGGCTGGATGAGATCCTTGGAACAGACGCCATCAAATAAGCTGAAAGGGCCAAATGGTCCATTTTTAAGCTTTAACATTCCTTATCTTTTTATGTCTAATGAATACTTTAATGACTGAGAGAACTGTTATTCCCTATCTTCTATTTTAATGGTGTCATGTGTAATGTTATTATGTTTTTATGTCTAGTGGATGCCTTAACGAGCTATTGTTCCATATCTTATATTTTAAAATTAAAAAGATCATAAAAGTATTTTCTTACTAAATATTAACCGACTGGCAGAGTGTCACCTCCATTTGGGTCAACACGTGTAGAAGCAGATACCGTCAAAATACGTCTGAACGTTTTTTTCTTTCTCTTTTCTCTTTTTTCTGTTTTAAAACTACAGTGTAAAAACTACATGAAACGTATCATGACAATTGCCAAAGAAAATGGCACATGCAGTATAAACTGCAAAGTTCTTTGTAAAAAATAAGACCTTTTTATTTTTATAAAAAATATACATTTAAACTATATTTTGAATAATCATAAACTTAAATCACTGCAAAAAAAAACACATTGATTTCATTTCAGAAATGAAGAGTTACAAAAGGCCAGCTGATACTGCTGTTTCGGTAATAACAAGGAGTTTGATCTTATGTACATTTAAGTCACCTTAGTGAACTTCATCAGTATCACCGGTGAAACACAACCTGCAGGTTTGTGTATATACTGTAATAGAAACTATATAGAACTGCTTTGAAATCTAAGAACAAGAGGCAAGTGCTCACACAAAGGCTGGTTGGAGTATGGAACACACTACACTGCCCTGTATTGAATCGAGCTGTTGGACCCAACAAACAGCTGGAAGAGATCCATGGATCGATTAACTACCAAATGGATTAGATGGACCAAGTGGCCTTATTTGTAACACTTGTTACATTAACCTTCAGTAGCCTTCTTACTAGTAAAGCTACTGTATGATGGTGATACCAGGCAGCCAAAAGAATGTTGATATATTCATGGAAACAAAGGAGTGCCAGCACAAAGCAGCCTATTTTTTTTATCATTTATGATCTTATTTTTATTATTTATTTTCTGTATTTCAGTTTTTCCACTTTAGTTTCCATAACAAAACAGGTGAGGTCTGTTCTTCTGGTTGCAAAGAGAAAGCCATAATCCAGATTATAGATTATTAGTGGCGACAGGCAGAGGGAATGCTCTAGTATAGCATGTAAACATACGTACAGTATATAATCTTAAGATTTCTGGAACCTTCATAGCATAATCTTTGTAGAAATCCATGGCAGATCACAAATTACAGGGAAGTTACTTTACCTTCACTGATATTGTTACAAAACAGTACCTTTTTCCCAAGGTTTACAAGCTTGTTTTGTGACTTGAATGTAAATTGTTATACAGCCAAGTGAAAGAGTTTTAAAACAATGGAATAAAAACATTGTGGACACTATACTGAAAATTCACAGGTGATTAAATTATCATTGCTTCCTATAAGGATTTAGGCTGTGAGTGTTTTTTGAATAGAAGGTCATATATTTAGGTCAGCTGTCTTTCTGATGATACACCTGCTATGTGGAAATATTTTTACATTAAAATAGTGCGCTGTTGATATATATATACATTCTCGTAATGCAATACTAAACTAATGTTGTGGAAAAAAAATTAAAAGAAAGTCAAAGGCACTGGCTGTTACATGGTTTTGTTTATTTAAAATTTATTTTATTTTTTATATAAAATAACATTAAAAAAAGTTAATATGTATGTAACATTTGAAATGTGTTTTTAATGTAAGGGGTGAATGTTGCATAACAAAGACAGGCATTCAAGAACAACACAGACCTTTAAAACTGACAGTACTGTACAGTACCTCTGTTATTTGAGCAACACAGATTCGTGTAGAGATCAAGTAACTAGCTGTGTGTGGGATTCTGGGCAGATACTCCTGGGAAAACTCTCTCTGCTAAGAGCTAAAATAGTACGGTACAGGAGACCTACCAGCACAACCAAAAACAACATTTTTGGAAAAGGTTATGTTTAAAAGTTTTTAAATCTTTAAGCCCGTTTGTGAAGTCCTTTCTATATGTACTCAGCATAGAACATTCTACTGTATGTACTGTAATATAAACTATATAGACTATAGTTTTTAAATTATACAATATAGTTTAAATATGATTTGATTTATATGAAAGTAGATATGATTTGCCAACTTTGCTGACTTCTTCAGTTCCTGGTACTTTGTTCTCCAGTAGGAAAGAAAACAACGTACTGGTTGTAAATATACTGGTTTTCCCTTTAAAGAACATTTAAATGTGGTAACTTATTTTTGCTTTAATATTAAACTTATTCTACCCTGTATGGTACTTTTTATTCACTGAAGCAGATGAAAGAAACACTTTTTGATGAAAACACACAAACATGATGTACAGTATGTGAAAATTATAACCTCCACATGCTGATCCTTGACTCAGCAATTGGTAGGAAAATATCAATGTCATCATTTTCTGAAAAAAGAGTGTCACAACTGCTTTGGCTGGGCATACATTAAATGGTTAAGCATTAAGCTAGTTTTTAAAGGTTAGAATACCATAATATTTGTTTTTCTTTTCAGCACTTGGCAGAGGATGATTTTGTAGGTCAAAAACTTCAACCTGTCACTGAAGCATGTCCAATCAATAGTACAGCATGTATCATCAAAACCTAACATAAACGTTTATCCTATTAAATTACTTCCTAACCGTGTGATCACAGGGCACAGCGCAGCACTCCTTAAAATAAATCAGACAGAACAAACCTTTTGCAAAGTATCTGGTCCCTGGGAGATGAGCAGTGTGGGTTCACTTCTTCGCCAACCTTTTTAAGCAACAGCTTAATCATCAGTCTGGGAGACGTAAATACTAAACAACTTGTCGACTCAGGGAAAGAAGGAAGAGCTTGATGCCAGAGAGCAGATGTGCCTGATACATCAGCACATAATTGCTGATATAGAAATAGCTCCAAATGCAAGTCTTACAATCATCATGTCCTTACATTTGAAAATGTTTTGCCTATTCACTGGTCTGTGAAGCTTGGAAAGCGATTTTAATAAATGATTCTGAGCTGTGAAGAAGGGTAAAGGGCTTTCTTCTTACCATTTATATTTAAGTCAATTAATCCAAGTTTTGTTTGATAAAATCACTCTGTCGTAATGGGATCTGATGTTTTGAGCTTGCAACAGGAATGCAGGAATACAGATAGACAGGAATATGGATTGCCAGCTGTTAGCCATATTATGTATGTTTCTTCTAAAAGGAAGAGGTTTTCCTGCCAGAATACCCTCTCATGCAGAAGAAAACTTTGAAAGAAAAATAAATTCCCTCTCAAGACACTCTGGTACTATTCTGTTTTAGTGTGGACCTTTTATTTCATATCCGCTTCTAAATTAAAATAGCATATGTCAGTTTTGGGGGTGGCTTAGCATAGTGGGTGAATCTCTGGACCCATGAATAGTAGGTGGGGGGCTTGAGTCCCTGCTAGCCCAGTTGCTCCAGTCCACCCAGTTGTAAGTGGGCACTATCTTACCATTAATCCCTGTGAAGGACCAGCATCCCACCCAGGGAGGTGTCACATGCCCTCTAGTTCACTAAATGCTTCAGAAACCAGGATGAGCTCTGGCTCTAATGTGGACTTTGACTTGTATACCTTTCCTTTGGCACTGCATTGCCTTTAGGGCAGATCAGTGGCTCTGTGGCTCAGGATCTGCGCCTGTGGCTGGAAGGCTGCCGGTTCGTATCCCGCGGCCGGCAGAGGAATCCTACTCCGTTGTGCCCCTGAGCAAGGCCCTTCACCCCAACTGCTCCAGGCGCCGTATAAACGGCTGACCCTGCGCTCTGACCCCCAGCTTCTCTCCCTGTCAGTGTGTCTCATGGAGAGCAAGCTGGGGTGTGTGAAAAGATGAATTCCTAATGGAAGAACTTGTGTATGGCCAATAAAGTGATTTCATCTGATCTTTATCACTGTCTTACCTTCACACTTACGGTAATTCATCAAGGATCAATATGATGCTGGGATATTCAGGAGACAGTGGGCCTGCCAGAAGGATCATTGCAAAGCCGCCCAGTCTTTAATATAAGTGCACCTGTGCGAAAGAGCCCAGGTCCTTCTGCTACGATGGCAGCTCTGATGTGTGTTCCTTTGCGTATTTCCCACGCAGGTGAAGGTGTGGTTTCAGAACAGGCGGATGAAGTGGAAACGAGTGAAAGGGGGTCAGCAGGGGGCCGCGGCGCGAGAGAAAGAACTGGTCAACGTGAAGAAGGGCACGCTGCTGCCGTCCGAGTTCTCCGGCCTGGCCGGCCTGCACCCCTCCGCGGACTCCCTGGCCAACGAGGACAGCCGCGACAGCGAGCACAGCTCCGAGCACGCCCACCTATGACGCGCGGCCGAGGCCTCGGGCGCCCTCACTCAGGAAAGAACGACGCGCCAGGGGACGGCGGGCGTCACACACAGCCGTGAACAACAAACAGTGTAAAAATGTACAGAGGAATGATAGATGTCTTTAACCAGACCTGTGAGGATTAAATTCTCAATTGTTTTTTTTTTTTTACCAGTCTATGATTTGCACCACAGTTTTTAGAATTACAGAATGTTAAATTGCAGATCAAAGATCAAAGAACATTAAAAGATTGTAGAAGTCTATTTAACATGTGAAACAGGGATTTGCAGGGGACACTTTAAAAATCGGACGTCCTTCTATTAGAAATTGAAGTGTAAATAAGAATTAGTGGGTAACCACCTCCTATTCCAGCCTGTTTATTTGTAAACCAGACCTGGAGAAAGTGCCTTAATATAAAATCTGATGAGCCCAAAGCATTCTGAACATTCCACTTTGTGCCTTACAATGACAATGGGCAGATATATGCTCTGGTTTGCACTCTTTAACTCATGCCTTTAACAGTTTCTACTGTAAGAAAGAATCTGGGAAAGCACACAAAGCAAAGACGTGTTCAGCTACAAATATGCAGCAAATATATTCATTCTGTAAATAACTATCAGTATTTTTTTGCCTTCATTCTAACAAACATGTCTTATTAACAGTATACCAGCTCACACAATAATAAACATTGCTACTCTGTCGCTCTTCTGGCTGTGTGTTGTTATTGATTGAAGCCTTAAAAAGACTTTGCTGAAGTTCATATGAAGCAAACGTTAAAAGAAAATGTTTATAAATACTTCAGAGATCTGTTAAGTTAAGCAAAAGTTTCAGATTTTCTTTAAAAAAAACTATAGCAGGCATTATAATCTACTGTACAGCTTTTGAAACTTGAATTAATTTGGGACTATGCAAAAGGTTCAGTTTGCATGAATGAATCAATATGAAGTCTCCTGTCATCTTTAACTTGAAACAGAAATAATAATCCTGCCAAAAAAAGTGAGGAATGATTTTAAACACCTCCCATTTGAAACGTATTTTATTAAAAAAGCCATTTTGAAAATCATTGTAATGTGTTTGGCTGTGTTTGTGTGAGTATGCATTGTAATTTATAATTTTTTAGCACCTTAATACTTTAAAACTGAAATTTCTTGAGATTCAATACCTCAAGAATCTTTGTAGTCTATTAAGAGAGTTATTCGGAGGCTTAAAGTTTCCTGGTCCAAAAAAGATTTCGAATGGATTTGTTTTCAATTATGGCCAGATCCATTTGTGTGCTTTCATCTGTAACCTTGATTAGTCTGCCAGATTTCTATATTATCTAATTTGTCCAGCTAGAACTTTGAAACATACTTGATCAAACTGGACAACAAATTGTATCCCCGTGAGAAATTATTCATAGTTAAACTGTCAGCAACGCAAGGGAAATTTATTTGCAATCTTTCCATATTGCAAGAAACCCTCATACTGTGCTAGGTTTTCAAAATACAACTGGGGATTAATATGCAGAGATTAAGTAAAGAGGAAATGTACATACATTTTGAAGCCCACTTAATGTGTGAGCTGTTTTCCATTGAAAGGGCTGAAACCCTGCAGAGCACGATGAAGTATCTCATCATGTCCAGATAAATGATTTGTTGTCTAGCATTCGGTAAAGGGCAGCACCACGAAAATGTAATATGTTTTCTGCCAGTCCTGTGTGTGGTTCCAAATATCACAAGTGGGTTAGTGTAGTACAGCATATATACTACACAAACACTCATAGTGTCAGAGTAAAATATAAACATATCCTCATGGGCTTACAGAATGCATGGCAACATCATAAAAATTGATTTAAGCAATAAAGTCTCTAGAAGCATGAGGTGAGATTATAGCTAACATTTTTTTAATTGAAAATACAAATCATTAATGATTAACAGCTGAATTAACACAATTTCATTAAGGAGATAAAAAAACATTAATTTCATTTTCTTCAACACAGGGCTATAACTTGAGTTTGATAGAATGAAACATTTAATTATCCAGTGAAATTGCAAAGGAATTGAAAGTTGATCACTGGAGAAATATGTGTGGTATAATAAAGGCCTATTTCCAAAACAAAAGGTGTTGAAACTGAAATCAGAAAATGGTGAAAGGCATCAAGACCAGGGTCCAGAAGCATTCTGTAGTCGGGCTGGAAGAATTCTTCACAAAACCGGGAGGACCCTCTGTACCACATTGCTATGAACAACGAACTGGGAGATCCAGAAATTAGTGTATTTGAAAAAAACGTAAGAAATTATTTGAATAATAGAGATTAAATGGCATAGCCTTCACCAAAAACAGTCTTGAGAAAGTCCCTTTAGACAAGCTGTTTTTTAAAACAATATTCTGATAGACCCCAAGATTTTCTTTGGCATTCTTCAGTCCAGGCAAAGCAGGGCAGAATAGTTCGGTTTTACTTCAGCATTGTTTAGAGAATATTTCTCAAAGGCAGGCAAACATAAAAACAAGTGTTTATTCACTCACAGACCAATCCGATCTACCGTGAGATCGGATCTGTGGTAGATCCATTCCAGCAAGACAACTCGGAACGCACAGCAGAAAGCAACACTGACTTTTGGAAGAAATGCAAAAAACAAAACAAAAACTGTTCTTTACCAGCCAGCGAAATCACTGGCCTTGAATCTAAATGACATACCATGGACAGGCAAAAGGAAATCAGTAGCAAGTCATTATCTCTGCTTCTGGGATTTGCATAAAGGAAAAATGCCAAAAGAAATGTTCCAACGTTGAAGAAAGTACAGCTATTGAATGCTCCCAATAAGTTGAAAGAGGAGGAGATGAATTTGAACGTGTTAGAACTCTTTTTGTCCTTACTACAGTATACAGTTATTATTATTCTTCCCCTTCCAATAATGTCAATTTTTTTTAACTCCAAATTTCTTATGCACATTTTTACAGAAAATATTTTGATCTAAACTGGAATTAAAAAACTGAAATATGTTGGGTGTGTAAGTATTTGCCACTCTGAGTCTATACTGGACGGAAGCACCTTTACTAGCAATTACACTGTAGCTGTAAATCTTTTTAGATACAAATCCCTGCGAGCTCTGCACACCAAGATGGTGCAGTCTTTGCCCACTGTCCTTCAAGAACTTGCTCAAGCTCTGACGCTTTGGGTGGGGATTGTTTCTGTCCAACCATTTTCAAGTCCTCCTACAGATTGTATTTGGGATTCATGTCACGATTGTGACTGGGGCTCTCAAGGACATTGTTTCCTTGTTAAGCCATTCCAGTCTGCTTCGGTTACATCCTGTAGAAAAGTCAATTTCTCTCCCAATTTGAGGTCTTAAGTGGGGTTTGAAGATACACTTCCCACTTTTTGATGCTCAACCTCATTATGCTCAAAGGGATATTCAGTCCTTTGATGTTCTCTACATGAGTGAGGGACCTTACAGGGACAGTAGTATTTATTCAGAAATCAAGTAAACCACAGAGGCTCTATTGCACACAGCCAAAGGCCACTCAACAAATGGCGTGACTTGTCAAAGCAATTCCCTGCACCTGAACTAATTTCCGTTTACTGTGGCAAAGGAGGTGATTATTTATGTAATCAAAATACAGTATTTTAGTTTTTGATTCTCAGTGTTTTTCTGACATTTAACTTTCTTTCATCATAAATGTGTTCAGTCTGAGCATTCAGGTTTTGATTAAGAAGGTTCACATTTATAAAAATGTGTATACATCACTTGTAATTTAACAAAATTGGACATAATCAGAATGGCTTTGAATACTTTTCCAAAGTACTGTATATTATATGGAGGTTCTTAACTGGCGCTAGAGAGGGATAATGACAGACAAGGCAATCACACCCAGCTGTCTCAAATCACAATCATTATTGACTTTTGCTATACTGTATATATAATACTTGCACACACCTGTTATTGCATTTTTATTACACTCCATCTATGCACAGACCATGTGTGAAATAACATGCAGGAAAGTGAAAACAAGGCAGAACAAACAAGACATAATTTGCTGTTTATCTCTGGGTTCTTACAAAGCCTGAAGACACACAGCACTTTGTCTGAAGTTCCTAAGAAGCACACTGAGGTCACTCAGCATGCTCCTGTATCTGGAGACGCTATATTTCCTCACAATCCCCTGGTCCACTGCGGCTCCCAACCCCAGGACCTTATTCCCATGTTTCTGTCTCTTCTTCTAACATTCCACCTTTTTAGTCTATACTGGAGCTGTTTTTTCTTAATTTGGCTTCCAGTCCTGTTTATTCTGCTTTTCCTACTTCCTCTTGTTTATGTCAGCATCCTGTCCAGACTACTCAGGCCTAAGAATTTCAAGCCACGTGCCCTCTTTTAATGCCCGCCTTCCCTTTTTAGTGTAAAGTCTATATTTCCATCTCACCCGTAGCTCACTTGTTTGTTCTGGGGTTCGAGCAGCCCTGAGTTCCTCCCTCTGGGCCCCTGCTGGTCTCGACGCTGTCCCCTTGGCCCTGGATCTGTCTAGCTCTGGCGTCCTACCTCTGTTCGAATCACCAGGCGTCCCACAGGCTTCAATGTCTTCTCCTCATCACCATAATATCTGGATTTCCATACTTTGCAAATCTGCTCCATCCATCTCTGTTTCCGCATTGGTGACTTTGGGATTCACCTATTTCTTTTGGGGGGACAAGCCTCCTCGTCCTGTGGCCAGGAACCTAACACCTAAACTAAACGGGTTAAGCCAAAACCTACTATACTTAAATACTCAATAAACATTCAGAAGACGTCCGATTCTTGGATGTTGTTATTCCCCGTGAACTAAGGGATTGTGATTTTTTCTATTGTTCTTGTATGTGATGTACTGATTAACTTCTGACATCTAGTTGGGTGAAGTTTAAGAATATTTTCTGTATGTATTTATGAAGCTTATTATATTAATACAAACCTTCAACCTCCTTGTTTTGGTTACCTCGGGACAAATGATTTCAAACATGTTACTTTTCATCTTGGGTGAACCCTCTACCTTGTTCCATTAGGGAAACCCTTTCCTTTTGCCGGAAAAGGCAATATTGTTATAATTACACAGTAAGCCAAAAACAACACACCGAACTAAATACTTTTCCACGCTGTATTTGAATGCTTACTAAGCCTTTATTAAAGAAAACGTTTTGTTTTCACTTCATGAACAACTGTGGTTGTTAAAACAGTATACAGTTTTCTGAAAATCCCAAAGGAAGGGAAGTGTACAGTATGTAGCATCTGGTGGTAAATGAAGGTAAAAGATAAAGCTTTACTGTATATCAAAATTACTTTCTTTTTTTAAAAAGCGAATACCTTTGTTGTTTCATTGCAACAGGTCACCATGTGTAAGAAAGGAAAAATGCTAAAAAATGAAAGACCATTTAACAATCTGTGCAGATACAAAGTTAAAAAGTTTAAAGAGGATGAAAAACCTTTTTCATTGCCCTCAGAATGCCTGTATTGAGTTTCTCACAGTTTTCGCAGACGGTTTGGTAAGTTTCCAAGTACTGGTCTTGCCTTTCGTCTGGTGAGGGGGAAAATGCCATCTGTGAAAAATCCAAGACTGTTTTATGTATATCTAGCTAATTGGGCATAGGCTGTAACTGCTGAATCCAATTCAAGTTATAACACACAGTAGACGACAGCCATTAGCAACCTTTAGGAAAAAATGAAATCTTCAGATGCAGATCTTTGAGATTTATGCGTAACATCCCTAATCCAATTAATCTGTAGTTAACTTGCATGTTTATTTCTAAATCCAATCCAGAAATCTAGAAATCAAGCTTCTGTAGGGGATCTGGACATTTGTCTATAAAAATCTTTAAGTTGCTTATTTAGCATGAAACCCTACAGATGTTATTGTTACGTTAAGTTTGGAAAAAATAAAAATGCTTGTGTGTAGACTGTTGCTGGTTAGAGGCGTTGATATTGATTGTACCCACCTGAATGTAGACTTAACCAAAAATTAACCAGAAACTGTCCAGTCAAATGGCAGAAAGCCAGATGCCATGGTGAGTGATACCTGCCTTGCCATTCTAGATCCCTTATGTGGTGGCTGCAACCCTATTATCCAGCAGTTCTGAGGAAGTGATCCAACCGGGTTTACAATGAAAGGTGAACCTTTATCCCTGCACCTGTACATCTGCCATTGATCAGACAATGGCAACTGCATGATCAGTTTCACCAAATTACACTTTTATTACAGTACTGTACATCCGAGTTGACCAGTAACGCATATACAGTACAGCTTAAACTCACATTTTAATCTCTTACATAACGTGGCAGGAATACACATTTCTACGACATCTCGGAATTAATGAACGTAATGATTTTTTAAACTGAAAAAAAAAAATAGTTATGCTACTTTTTGTCTGTGAACATTTTTTTAACCACTCGTATCCAGTATTTTGCCCCCTTTTTTGGGGGACGGGACACTGTTGAATCAAAGCTATTAAAATGAGTAAATCTCATCTGGAAAAAATGTACTGTAAGGCCAAATCCTATAGGAGCGACCTGTGAAACACAGTGAACTGCTTTGTCACGTGATGACTACCTGTCCCCTGGATCTGCGCACTTTGGTCCGGTGGAGTGCACTTTCATCTACAGTATGGACTATAGCTACTGTAGGTCCACTGAGTGTTGAAGCGCTTGAGGTTACCCCAGCAATAGTTAAGAGGCATACTGTATTTATACCGCAACAATGGCACTCTATGAAAAGCCCGTAGTGTCGGTCTCTCAGGGTATTCGTATGATGTTTTACCTTATGACACCGAATGAAACGTCTTTCGCGCAGAATGACGAGGTTCCGGAATATGTCCAGCAGGTGAGCCCTATTCATAATTCATAACGTGATTTTCAGGTTTTTTTGCCCAGTCTCCACGACTCAGAAGTCAGTTTCAACGGAAGAGCAGAAAACCGACCCCATGCCTTCTGTAATTGTGTGCTATTGGTTTGATTGGTCAGGTTTACTTTAACAGTAGTTACACTCCAAAAGTAACTGATTGCGGGATGCCTCTGAATCTGTTTGATTTCATATTGTACAGCTAACAGTGGTCCAATAAGTGGTCAAAGTATAAGGAAGAAAAATGTATTTCCTCTTTTGAGAACAGCTACCGTATTTATCATAGTATGTGTGTACATTTTATTACAACGCTATCGGTAATTATTGACGTCAACCTTTTTATACATAATACACACCAACTAATGGTTTGTTTCATAATCTAGTTTGATTGTTTTTTTTTTACATATGTGTTTAATTTTTTATGTGGCATGACGTGAACGTCACTATAAAATACTCCAGTAGTTTTATTACATTGTTGGAAAAAAGTAATGTGCTAATTAGTACGTGTTGTGAAAGGCAAATTATGTTAGCAATTATTTAGTTGTTAAAAAAAGTTTAATAGATTTTAGGGATTTTTAATAAAATCCATATTTGATGGTGTTTGAAGTGAATGAATCCGCAGGTCTTTAATGTTTTATGGATTATACAAAGCAGTCTAAAAAATAAAAAGTTTAAACATTCTGTAAGTACTGTATATATTAAGACACGGCCATCTTCTCTTAAGGTGAAGAACATTAGTTAAAAATAATAATTAATCTTGATTATTAGAACACAGCTAACTGAACATGCACAGTCCTTAACTGTGTCTGACTTCATTTCCCTACAGTATCTTCATGTCCATACATGTGTTTATCACAAGACAGTAAACATTTTAACAGGTTCAAATGAACCCCTGCCCAGAGAGAGAAATTTAAATGAGTGTTACATTGTGTGTTCAGCTCGGTATGCTACAAGGCTGTGCTTCTGTGTATCCATTCTGTGTATCCATCGTTTACCAATTTATTGAAATCCAAATTACATAACTTGACCACATATTGCCTTTAAAGAACCACTTTCCAATACCTTCTCAGTGTCTTCTTTGAATCAGCCACTCGTTTAACCTTAACAACTGCTTTGAGAGAGGCACAGTATAGTCACACATTGGTCTCATATCTCTGGTGACCTGGTACTCTTTCACCGGAGAGCAGACATGTTGGATTGAATTGTGGTTGTGTGGCACTGTGGTTGAAGTTGAGGTAAATAAACAGATTTCTTGTTGAGCCTTGAATAAGGGTCTGTGGAATCTGATGAAATGGAAGACGTAAAAAGATTTAAGCATGCTTCATGATACTTCATCATATCTTGTACTGTAGGTTTCACAGGCAGATGGTATAATTTGCACTAATGTCACTTTGATTGCTGAAGTGATAATACTGCTTTTCACAGCTAAAAGGCAGGGTGGTAGCTAATCAGAGCATCTGCTAATAAAATTCTTCACCACTTAAGCAATTAAAGAACAGTGCAGTTTTTTTAATAATAAGCAATATGGATGTAATTGTTCTGTAAAATATATATTTAAATATATCACAGATATGTATTTTAAGTAGTTATTGTTTATGCACTTCTCCATAAAGTTTCCATCATTTTCCAGTGAATGTTTAAAGTTTAATCTTTTGGTTCTTGACACCACCTCACTTAAAAGAGTCTTTTTACACAGGCAAGCAAAGAGCTGGAAACTATAGTGTATTCTGCAAAGTGTTCAACATTTATATTGTGCACCATGTCATGATGTTGTTAAACATATTGTAGAAGATTTGTCATTTACTGAAAGTTATTTTCAGTGTGCTATGCAAGGATAGAAAATAAGACAATGTTTGAAATGAATACCCCCTCATATTTAGTTGAATATATAAATATATCATGAGAAAATGGCTTTTCACCATGGGAATGTAAAGGTTAGTGGTCAGACTATTTAGTTCTCTTAGTTTTCATATTGAGCACTTCAGTTCCCAGATGGCTACAATCCCCAAACTCTTAAAAACTCCCATCAGAGGGAAAAACACACATCTGCACTACAAATGTTGTCATATGCCACACGAGATTTCAGTCCAAAGAGCAGCAGCCTATGCAAAAATATCTAAACCTCCCGATATTTTTATGTACCTAAAATGTGAAGCTGCTGCTTTCCTCTGGACTGTCCGTGATAGTGGTCAAAAGTATCGGAACAGCTGGAAGTCTTTCTGAAATCCTGAAAGGAAAAAAAAAAGCTGACAGACACAAAGTTTCAGATCCATTTAAAAAGAAAATAGCACAGTGGATATAGGCAGTGTGGTGAAGTGTACAGCACATTCCCTTCTCAGTCAGAGGGCTGCAGGGAGCTTTGAAAGTTGATGGAGGTAAGATTCCTGAAGATGCAGGATGGGGCAGCAGCCCTGGGATATTGCCCTCCTGGGGCCCGTTGTAACCCATCTGTAACCTCCGTTGTGCACTTTGTGGCAGGTGAGAAGGGACTGATACCATGCCTTTACAAGACTAGGCACTGTGCTTGTCATCTCTCTCCATTGAGGCCCAACAAGCCCAAACCATCATGTAAGCTAAAACAACCAAAAGACTGCTCCAACACCGTTGAGGAGAGGTGTGATCCAATAACCAGAAGTTAGAAATGTTTTAGAAACCTAAAATTAACTAGGGAAAAACTGTATGTATGCTGTTAAACAGTAAAAATGTATGACTGTGGAAAAATGTATTTTTTAAGGTTACTGTAATAACTGGGGCTGTGTTTTTTGTTCCTTTTTTTCCAGTAGATACAATGGAAAATGGAGTGATTGCACTGAGGCAGTTTAAGCCTTGCTGGGTCGACGGACTAATTCTTTTTTACAGGAGCTCTGTTGTGTGCTCAGGTTTCAGTGGTGCCTTCACTGCCTGATCCTGGACTTGTGCTCTTACGCCTTAGCTCATTTCACAATACAGGTCCACCTTTCCTCTCTCCGTTCTCTTTAGGGTGACATGTGCGTGCTTATACTTTTGCAGTGTGCCTCAATATTGCAGTAACAGAGGGTCTTGGTAACCTGATTGTCATTTCACTATGGTAAATCGGGGGTAGGAGTCTCTCTGTGTTCTGTGGATCTTGGATAAGACTCACGACTGCTACTGTAAATACCATGAGCACTAATCCACACAATATAAAGATTAATGCATGTCTGTAATTTGCTTAGGCCACACCGTTCTTTGTGGGAATGATACTGCTGGAGCTGTTTGTGAGCTGGGCTAAAAATGGATGGCTGGTCATTAGAATCAATGATGGAGTGACTTCTGTCTCAGCAGGCATGCTGTCCATGATTCCAAAGTAAGTAATCCTAATTCACTAAAGAAATGTGATACTAAATAAAGATAAATAAATCAAATGCATGTCTAGGGAAATGTAATCCACAAATTACCAAGGTTTCATAATTCAGTACAATAGCAACATTAATACTTGAAGTCATCTTTTAATAATATTTTCTTAACCAGTCCCCTAGGTTTCTTTAATTTGGCTCTATCATGTATTCATCAGAAGAGAAATTTCACTTGTAATTCTCAGCTTTATTAACAAAGAAAAAAAAACGCCTTTTTGTCCAGCACAAGGAATAATAAACGATTATAATTTTAAAATTACGCCCCAGTTGTAAAATTACATAATTGTCCCATGATGCAACATTTCATAATGTTTAAAAAAAGCAGTAATAATATAAACCTATTCGCTATGTGAGCAGTGGTTCAAAACCTGGGTGGAACACAGCTGTGTTACTACTGTCACTTAAATTGCTTTAGTAGAATGTTCAGTCATTCAAATGGGTAGAAATGTTAAGTGTTTTTGAATAAAACACCTAAATAAATTATCCTAAATAAATTAGTAATCTTAATGCAAGATTATTAATGGAAAATTCAAAATAGTGTATCTTATACAATATACTTTATTCCACAGTGAATAAAGGAATTTCTCTATATGAAAGGGGTCATCCAGTAAATGTAATGTATTTAAACAAAGGCATATAGTGTAAAGAGAAGATCGTTTTTAAAAAAGGCATTGCACACCCAGAGAAATCACCTTAAATTCAGTTTGCTACTGATAATGAAAAACTTATGAAAAACTCTAAAGGTACAGTAGTAAAGAACATAACCTAAGCAAACAGCATTCAGAAATGGATTAAATCAGAAAGAGAGAGGGATTTCAGATTTGTTAAGGATGCCAGAGTTATTTTGTTTTTCTAAAAAACTTTCAGGAACATTTGTATGTTTCACAGTGAACACATGGTGAAGCTAGCTTTGTGCTGATTGTGAAGATCTGTTCCTCATCAGCTCTGCTGCAGGCTGCAGTCAGTTTGAATCTACACTTGCTCTCTGGCTGGGTATCCCCCCAGCCCCCGAGTTTTGCACCTGTGCAGGAAAACAGCTCAGATTTCAGAATGGTGGCACTGGCCACGGTGAATTTTCAGCAAGGCCTTCTGTGCTTTTGTTTTATTTCATTTCCATGCTGGTCTGCAGAGGGGTCCTGCCGCAGTCCTCCATGTTTCTGTGCTGGTGCACAGGCCAGAGTTGGGGGTGGTGGTCGGAGCAAGAAACACTCCCCAGCTCTGCGAGGAGTGAAATCCTTACAGCGGCATGTGACAGAACCTGCACATGTGGCGTGTGCGTGTTCGAATCCAGGATTGGATCAGCATTGATCAGTCCACCTGCAGCGCCCAAGATACATGCTCACCAAGAGCAGCTGACAAACGTGCACCGTGTCAAACCATTGAACTCTCATTGCAAGAGATTTAAATGGTATTTGACAACACAGACCAAACCAGACTGAAGACATTATTATATCAACCTTAGACAGAACCTCAGACAGATATGTGAGGCTTATTACTCATTCGTTACTAGATCTGTTAGGCTGACTTGTTTTGTTTTATCCTCTTTTGTGTTCACATACTGTACTGTACTGCAGGATTCCCTGGGCATTGTGTATGTAACGAAGAGGATCAATGACATTAGATTTTTTTTGCAGAATTAAGAAAGAGAAAACACCATTTGGGCCATCCAGCTTGTTTGGTTAATAGTAACTAATTAATCTAGGGATCTAATCCAGCCACAACAGGCTATATGCTGCACCCATATTATGTAGTTATATATAATGAAGTATATATAGTATGTTCTGTATAGATCAAACTTTGTTGCTGCCTTGTTGCATATAGTGCAATTTCATATTTAAGCGAGCATGTGGTAATCTATTCAAGAACTTTATGTTTTTATGACTCTGTGCTTTTTTTCATCCATAAAGGAAAAAACACTTTTGGCTCTGGGAATAAGATATTCGTTAACTAAGAAATTTTTGCCTTAGCAGTTTGGCAAAAATGAAGGATTATTGCAAGAAAACTGAAGAATAATGAAAACAAACACTGAAAGTTTGCTTTTCTACCTCTTTAGAGCAACCCCAGTGTCAGATGTAGGGAGGAATATCTGAAAACGAAAACATTTTGCTCTGTCTATTAAAGCTTCTGTTGTTTGATGCACAAACATCTAAAATGCTCCTTTCATTATTTCAGGCTGTTTGTGAGGAGTCTGGAGCTGTGCAGTTATATTTATGTCTGGGACAGCTACAGACTCTTGGAGTTGCCCTGGGATTCTCCTTGGACTTGGTGGCTGGCTTTTCTTGGAGTAGACTTTGGCTATTACTGGCTTCATCGTTTCTCGCACGGTAATGGCATTCATGCATCTCCGTCGTTTTTCTTGTACTTCTAGGATTAAAGAACCCAAATCTTTGTTTTAAATTCCATGTGCAGCCTGGGAGAGACAGGCTGCTCCAGAACACAGTGTAACACACAGACTTTGCTCACAGTGGAAACCAGCACAGATTTCACTGGTTATAATTCAGTTACCAGGTGCTATAGTATTAATATCAGGCATTTGGTGAACTGCAGCAAATTTGAAGCTTGTTTCATCTTCATCTTGAGAATCCTTCAATTATAACAGTGAATAAGAGGTGGATCATTATCCTGCATTTTCTTTTTATTACACCCTGCTGGTGCCAGCCTTTTCTATTTGTAAATACATACAGTGGAAGTACAATCAGTTTGTAAAATATATACCACTATAGTATAACCGTACTTATCACATATCATTCTGAACCAATACTTTCACAAATTGAAAAAGATAACCACAACTACTCTCATATGTATTTATAGAGAATACTCTGGTTCTCTTTATTTGCATTTTTGAAATGTTTTGTATTTAGAATCGCCAATAACTTTATACCCTCCCAGCTGTTGGCCAACTGGTCTTACTGGAGCAACCTCTGAGAGAGAGAACCTGTGTGCGTACTGCCTTGACACCACCCCCCACACCTGTCTTACACCAATCACACCTCAGACGTCATGAGGGTACCTTTATTCCTGGGCTGTGAGCCCCACTGCGCCTTACGAGGCAGATAGCACTGACTGGAAGAGTTGCCTGCCTCACTTGCCTACCCAACCCAAGGGGCGTCTTCTTGTGCTCGTCATAGGAGAATGCTGGTGCAGTCCAGGCTTGAACCAACACTGTCTGGATCAGAAGGAATACTGGTCGTAGCTCCCTGGAGTCCTACAATGTTTTAAGCAATACTGTATGTTTTGTGACCTACCAGCTTTGATTAAATATATACATAATGAATGTGAATAATTACAAAGCTCAACCATGGATACAGTAATCTTGTTTTCACTGGTTTGCTCTCTGCTGGATCCCGTGTCCAATTATTTCCATCTACAGTAATTGATGGTTAATGGCTTGCACGACAGGACTTAATTAAATAATGGCTAATATATTTTAAGCTGCAGCATTTGCAAACATCCAAGTTCACATGCTTTGCTTTATTAGTAATTAAATAATTTGCCAACTAAAATACAAAAGCAAAGCTATTTTTTGGAAAAGTTCTAATACAGCCCCGGCCAATTAATTGTGTAGAGCAGTTGTGTCATTAATGGAAAGAAGACATACTAATCTAAGAACATTTTCTGATATTTTAAACTACTTCAATTTAGTGAGACACATTTTTTTCCATTTTTCCATAGTGTCATATTTTATTAAGGCTTCATTGACTTATACTGGCATTTACTTAATCTATGTTTATTACTTTGTTACCAGCAACACCTGCTTTTGGACAACGAGCCAAATTCATAATGATATACCATAAATTACCTTTAATAAATAAACACAGCTGTCACCATTTTATTTTTCCAAGTACAGCACATCCAGTGTACTTTGCTGTGATGTCTGAGATTTGCCATTGGTCTTGCTGAATAATCATAAAAACGACAGTACGACAAAAATAAACGTATAGAACAGGAAACAATGAGATTTTGCCAGGTCTGGCTCATTGTGCCCCTGTACTGGATTAAGTGGTTCTTAAAAATGGATGGATGGCTATTTCTTGAACTGATGAGTATTTCACAAGGTTTAATCTGGTTGGGCTTTGAAGCCGTGTTTGAAGCATATTAAGTGAAGTATATAATCCGACACTTTTTTCTTAGAGCATAAGGAAATGTTGAATAAAAAACGATCAACACAAAAATGTATTAGTTTTACAACGGTTTGATATTCACAGTAAGGAAGGAACTACAGGAAGAGTAAAGAATGTTTTGGTACATCCCATCAGCCTGGCGGCTGTGGTCCCTGCTATTCACAGGGAAGGGCGGTGACGTCACTGCTCTTGCAAGCCGGCTCGCACAACCTGTAATGTTGGCCGTATGCGTTACAATATTAATAACACGGAGTGCACTATTCCTTAATAGCATGTCCATTTAAAATTGAGAGTGGGAAGTACTTCTTTACATGGA